ATCCTCTCAGAGCACAGGGATGCTCCCCTTTCCCTGGATCCTCTCAGGGTACAGGGATGTTCCCCTCTCCCTGTTACTCATGGTGCAAAGCGAAGCTCCCCTTTCTCAGAATCTTAGTATCCAGTGATCCAGATCAAGTGGAGTAAACTTAAGCACTCTCCTCTCCATGTCTCACCTCCTCTAGCCTGGAGCTACCCATCTCCTTCAAAAATGTGAGATAAGCCCACCTGACTGACATCCCAACCTGAGCATCGCTTTAAGGAACACTGAAAAAGTTTCAGCTGTGGCAAAAAATCTCCCCCTCAAGGAGAACTAAGGAATTTAAGAAGTTATGTTAAAGAAAACAAATAGCTTAATTCCCGACTTCCTAAAGGAAAATGCTTTGACACTGAATGAAGAAATATCTCTACAACCAGAACTTTGCCATGAGTCTTCAGCACCCACCTACACCCTTTTTGTCAGCGAGTTCTGCTGCGACTACTCTCAGTTTGCAATTTTGTTTTGGGCCTGGCTGAGTTGGAGCTCATTTTCCCCCAGCAGCCCTCACAGTGCTGTGATTTTAAGATAAGGATACTACCTGGGAGAGGCAACAGACAAATAAGTACTGAACAATGTCGGAGAGCGGAACGATCACAGGGGAAATTCCTGTCGGAATTGTGGTGAAGGGACAAAGGGTGGATTTTGTGTAAATTATCTGTGTTGTGATGACGGTATTTTGATCTTCGCAGGGGGAATGTTTGTGTTGACTGGTTGGGTTTTTTTCTGATGTGAGCAAAGGTCGTGTGACGAGCGGTGGTTTGAAGGATAACCCTCGAACACGCGGCTCACGGAGGCGAGGGGCGGAACCGGGAGCTGGGGGTTTTTGTACAGCAGGGGGATTGAGCTGTTATTTCAGCATCCTGGGCACGGGGAAGGGGTGTGGACTCACCTCCATCCAGGCTCCTGGAGGCTCGTTTGCTGGCCGTGCGCTCGAACTGGGGCGCGGGCCGGTCGATCAGGGCGCTCGCCTGCCGCGTCTGCGCCTGCGTCCGCCCGCTGTAGCGGAACTTGGAGCCCAGCGCCAGGAACCTGCTCTTCGGGATGGCCTCGGTGGAAGTCAGCCTGAAAAACACGCCCATGATTTAAAAAACCCACAAGCCAGTGGCAAATCCGGCAAATCTCGGCGCGGTCGAGGAGAGTAGGGAATAAATCTGAAAATCCGCGTCGTCGACTTCCAACGACTTCGTGATGTTGGGCTGGTTTTCCCCCCACGTGCAAGGGAATGAAGGATTCTCATTCTTTTTTAGTATCATCTTGGAAAAAATACGTATGGCTGCTGTGGGCTGCGCTGCGCCGGAGTTTCCCAACAAATTGGGAAATCCCAACTTGGCGTTTCCCAACAAATCTCCTCAATTTCTAACACCAAATGCTTTGAAATGAGTGCTCCTTCATGGTTGTGGCATTTCCATCAGGAAAGCTCCCTGGATCCAGAGAGCTCAGTGTGCTTCAGAGCAGAAACGCCTTCTGAAGAATCCAAGAGATCACTTTGAGTTGGGCTGAGCTCAAATCCCACTAAACCTGAGTTGTTCTGGTTTAAGTGCCACTCACCGGACTTTACTTTCTAAGGAGTTTCATTTTCTATGGATGTATTGGGAAGGGAGAGTGTAGGGGAGGAAGTAATGAGAAATTAAACAGAAATTAAAGAAGTCTTTTGCCAGTCTCACATCTACATCAGTGAAAATTCTCTGTCTTATGTATCTTATGAAGCAGAACCTGCTTAAAAATTTACTGCAAAACAAACACTTAGAGTCCCTGCAACCATTTCACTCCGACTGTTCCAAACCCTAAGGAACACTGAAGGAACTAAGGAACACTGCTCCCTTTCAGCAGTTACACTAAAGCATTAGTTACTCAAAGTTCAGAAAACCCACCTGAAGAAGGTGTGATGTTCAACACAGACTTTCCACAGCTTCTTCGCTGCCCGGTAGCTTGGAAGCTTGAACCCAATTGTACTTTCATACTGTTCTTGCTGTGGAAAATATAACTTATTTAGGTATAGCAAGGAATACATGAGGCAGGAGCTCAGTTCCCAGCCCATTGCTCTGTCCTGCTGCGGCACAAACTGCTGAACTCACTCCAGGATGTGCAGGAGGAGCTCAGATCAGAGGAGAGGTAGGGCTTGGCCACAAGCCTGGGCATCTCTCAGGGTGCACTGGGATTTACAGAGGAACATGCTGTGGATTTTGCAGCCAGTCAGCCTCATTTACACCCCCATCATACTGCCCAGCTGCAGGATGGGGTCGAACACTGACCTCCCTGCAAGGCTGGGTCAAGGCAGTGAAAGCAGGAGGAGGAGGAAGAGAAGGGAAGAGGCAGATCCCCGTTGTAGCCTCTCTCCCTGATGTGGTCAGGCTGCTCCAGGGATCTCCCAACTGATGAAGCAGCACCAGTGCATCCATCCCCTGCCTCCTGCCCTTAGGTAAAAAGCTAATTCGAATTTTTTACTACTTTCTTTTAATAAAAGCAAGACAAAGAGCCTTTGTTTTGCCTTGTGTCAAAAAAAAAAAAAAAAAAGGATTTAGTCCTCTCCCAGTTTCAGCTGACAACTTCCCACCCGTTTCCCCGGATGCTGGGAATACCCTGCAGTGCCAGGAGGTGGTGCTGGATGACACACTGTTAAACCCTCACAGGAGCCAGGACACACCTCCCCCGGCCGAATCTTTATGAAGAAGCTGCTGCGTTTGTAGGAAATCTTCAGGACTTTGGGCCACGGGAAGCGGTTGATTCTCAGTTTGTCTTTGTAAACAAGAAGGCCACTGGAACAGACTCCCAGAGTGATGTCCACTCCTTCCAAGTCCTGCCAAACCAGGATTTAAGCAGTGTCAGGGTTACAAGTTTCAGGTCAACATCTGCCTTCCAAATCACCCCTTTGGTCTTCACCCAAATTCATCTCCCCACCCCCAGACTCCAGCTCCCAGCTCCAGGGCCAGGTCGGCTTTTCCTTCACGTTTCTCCTCACAACCTCCTCTTTCCTGCACTGTTGGTTGCCCAAAGGGCTTATCTAGAGTCCTTCCTGCATCTCCCCACGTGGCAGGTCAGAGCCATAAATTCAAAGCTCCTCAGAGCAAGGACTCGTCTACATCAGGAGCTTTGGAAAGCTTCCTGGGATATATAAATAATAAGCAACCAAGAAGAATCACTTCTCCTGCAGGAATGCTTGAGTCATTCCTGTGTCTGTATTTCCATACTTCCTCTACCTTTCAAAAGGAGCTTCCTGAAACAGGTAAACTTGTTCCTGCAAGGGAAGGATAACCAAATGACAAAACCCACAGGCAGGTGCTGGTTCTCACCTTGGCTTGGTGAAGGTCGACTCCATACATAGACAGCTTTTTTGCATTCTCAAGAAATTCCAGGTCTGCTTGGGCTGGAGTCATGGATCTGGGGAAAGAGAGAAAGGGTTTGGTATTGCGCAAACTGTTGCTTTTCAGAGAGGACAAATGAGACTCCATGAAACTCATTAGATTTTGTTTTGCTTTCAATACAACCAGATTTGTGCTCAGGTGATGAATTATTAAATCGCTCTGAATGCCCACATTTGTGCTTTCAGACATTCCCATAACACAGATGCACTTTATTCCTGTGGAGCTGCACGGGCACTAGAGAAGAAAGCAAGGAACAGCAGTGAGGGGGCAAAACTTGATTCAGCAGAAGAAACCCCAACTGAGCCGCAGGCAAAGGGTGACAGGTCCTGTCCCCCCAGATCCGCTGCCTCCAGACCTCCCCAAACCCAGCTATTGTTCTCCAAGCCAAACACATGGACAGCTGAGACCACTCAGCAGAGATTCCAACCGGGGGACCAGATGAATGAAGGGTTTTCTGGGAACAGATGGTGCCCTGTCTGCAGGAGGGGCACAACTTAACAGAGACATCCTGATAATGGAGGCCATTATCAACGGTATTGAAGTGCCCTTGTTAATAAGTTTCTGGTGTGTGAGGTACATTAACAGCTCTGTTGGGAGAGAATTCAGCTGCATACATTTCATTTTCTTCCCTCCTTTGATGTCTTCCTCACTGAGCCCTCCCATACATCTTGTGTGTGATGTAAATAGAGGTTGTGGTGGTGGGAGACAGGGCAGACAAAGACAACTGTAAGGACAATCCTGTAAGAAAGACCCAGGAGCTGTCCCTGTGTCGACATGTGCCTTGTGCTTTGCAAATACAGTAGCAAGAGCTGGAGAGTGGTTTAGCAGAGATTTCCCTGGAACTGTTCAAAAAACATGTGGGTGTGGCACCTGGGAAGTGGTTTAGTTGTGGGCTTGGCTTTGCTGGGGGAATGGTGGGACTCAACGGTCTTCGAGGTCTTTTCCAGCCTTAATGATTCCATGACTCTGATTCCCACTGAAAACCCTCTGACAGTTTAATGTTCACAGAACACAGACCAGAAATTAAACTGGGACATTTTGCTTCCTCCTGCACGAGCAGACAGATGAAATATAACTACATCTTATACCTTGAAGTCTCCTTCTAATGAAGCCATGAATAATTCATCACCCTGATCCGCCACTTCCAGCACAGCAACGGCCTTTGACTCCGAGTCATGAAGCTTGTCAGTGGCCTGGTACTTATTTTCCCTCATTTCCTCTCCTCTCAGTGCAAATGGAGGGGAATCAATTTAAAGTATTGATTTGGAGGGTTGAGTGAGGTGTTAATTGTAGCTCTGGCCACAGCCAGGAGCCCATGTCCACCCTTCCCACTGCACTCCAGTTATTAGTTCCCCTCTGCCTCTGAGAAGGTCTTGTCTTTGTTCTCATCAGGGCATCAACCAGCAGCTTTTCACAGGGCAAGGGGCTGCTGGTTGAAAGTACCACCAAGTGGTGTTATGGATTTGGGGGGGTTTCCCCTCTAAAATCCCAGTGTATCCCTGTGAGGACACAGAAGCTGCTGCAGGCAAACCCTTGAGAGCATCCAGGAAAATGAGCTCAAAAATAAGATGAATACCAGGTTTTGTTACTGCCACCCTTCAGTCTGGTATCAGGGGGACTCCCAGTTGTTCCACCCTCCCTGAACACTACACACCTGCCCAGGTCATGGCTGCACTAGGGAACACTTAACTGCAGGTTTGTAACTCTTGGATCGCCTGGAATCCTTCCATGTTAGGAAGTGAAATGTGGCAGCAGAAAACCCTAAACGTGCTGTAGCATACTGTGTATGCACAGAGAGACAGGAGCCAACTACAGTCCAAAATTACATGAATCCCAAACAAAGGGCAAGGTTAAAACAAGGAAATTTTGCATTTTCACATGAACTAAACCCCTATTCTGTTGAAAAAAAAGCACTTGTTCATAAATAATTTAAAGACTTTGTATCTGCTTTCTTCCACGCATGAAAAAAAGAATTCCAGCTTCTAGAAAGATTTTTTTTAAAAGTATTAGAAAGTTTTTTAAAAGCTGATATTCATAGAATCATCACAGAGTCACAGAATGGTTTGGATATGAAGAGAACTCAAAGATCAACCAGTTCCAATCCCCTGCCATGGGCAGGGACACCTTCCACTATCCCAGGTTGATCCAATCTGGCCTTGGACACTTCCAGGGATGGAGCAGCCACAGGTTCTCTGTAGCTCAATACCTGCAACATTCTCAGGAGCTGCCAGTTCACACTTTACTGCTAAAGCTTCTGTTGCCAACATAAAATTGGTGCAGCAGGAAACCAAAAACACACCACAAAGGTGGGGGAAACACCCGAAAGCCCCATTATTGCCCTTATTTCAGGCTGCTGTGCACAAACAAGCCCCTGCAGCCACCACACCTTACCTGTATGTTTTATGAAGCTCCACAACCTTCTCTTCGAGCTCTTTTGTCTGGTTTGGGGCCAGTTTGAACTCAGTGATGTAATCTGGGCCGTGGAGCTCGGGATCATAGTCCCCCAGCTCCGACTGGACCGTGTAGGAGCCCAGCAGGGCCAGGGTTGCAAAGGAGCAGGGCAGCCGCCCCGTGAGGATGTCCTGTCTGAGCTGAAGACACAGGTAATACCTGGGGGCAAAAAGGAAAATATTAATCACAGAGAAATTTATTAACTTGAGGATCAGTCCCCTTTTTTTTTTTTTAATGCCCCTGATGAACGAGCACGGCGCTCATTCCCAATTTCTACCTGTGTTTTTACTCATTCCCAAGGTAAACAGTGTGAAGGTCTGGGGGATTTAAGGTCACCTCCACTCTGCAAACGGACCAGAAAATCTTGGGTTTAGATAAAAACGTGCTTTCCTCTACAAACACACCCATGCCAGGGTTGTACATGACATTGCTTTACCCAAGTGGACTCCAGTGGAGAGCAGGAGCATCCACACACCCACTGAGAACAAACCAAACCCCCTCCAAATGGGGAAGACATTTGATCTCCTCACTGAAGGAGTTTAATATTAAACATTTCTATTCCATATTCACTGCTCTGCTCAGCGAGCTCCTGGCTGGCAGCAGATTCCCAGGGAACTCACCTGGTTATATCCTCAGTCAGCTGGGCAGGATCTGGAGGATAAAACTTGACATTGAAGGTAAAATCCCAGGGGCCTCCTGCAGTGACAGAGGAGAGGTTGAGAAAAGTCAACACACCAGGACAGCTTTGTGACAGTCAGCTGTTATTAAAAAAGCTGGGAATACCCAACCTGATCTTCAACATTCACCCAGCAGATGTAACACTGATTTTATACTGCTCACTCTCACAGCTGGATGCAGCTTAACATCTGTATAAGGTATGGTTTTATTTATAGGAGGTAGGATACAAGCAGGAGAAAAAGAAGTAGGACAGGGGAATACACATAAATAAACCACTACTCGTGGCAAATATTAAATTCATTGCTAAGAAGCTCAAAGACTCCCATGTTCTTTCATTGCTTGAAAAGGGATTCATGAAGAGAGGGCAGGGGTGGGCTGTAAGTTAATGAATTAGGATTGGTTTATCACTCAAGCCAATTTTCAAATTTCAGGAGGGGATGTGCTAAGTCACTTCTCAGCCTAATGCACTGGGGTCAGGTGGTCAGACACAGGTTAAACTCAGCCCAACACAAGCATCAATCTTAGGATGAAGCCAGCAAGCACCAGGGTAGGAAGAGCTTTACAAGTCCAGACCTAAATGTTTAACACTTAATGTCTAAAATAACACTTAATGGTTAAAATAATGTTTGTTGCAAACCTCGTGCAGCACCATTACAGGCATTAAGTGGAGTGAGAATCCACATAATCACACTAGAACTGGCATTATAAGTGGTCTGGCCAGCCTAGGTGCCACAGTTGAAGGGGTTACCCTCTCTTTTCCTTGAAAATAATCACATTTCCCAGCAGAAAATAGTCCTGACCGGGTGATTTTCATAGTTACATCTCCCCCCTGCTGTGGCCCTTTAACACCAGCTCAAAATAAGATTTCTTTCAGAAAGAGAAGATCTGCCCCTGTGCTTCACCCAGAGCTTTATCCCGATCTCACACAGGGAAGAGGGGGGACGGAGCATCCCTGGATTTACTTCTTATGCAACACCATAACTGGGATTAAACACAAGGCATGTTGTTTTCATCACACACAGTTCAAACCAAGCGATTCCAAGAGGTCATTTTAGGGAGCAGAGGTTATCTAAAGCAACACACATCAGGGTACACATATTCATACCCTCATTCAACCTATTTTCAAGCAAAATCTAATAATCTGCCATTTAACCCATCTCAGGGGATCAGATTCCATAAGAGGTTGCTGCTCATCACATTTACTAGATGAATTTTATGGATGGAGAAGCTCCTGCCCTTCAAACACATTTTGCTATTGATCCCAAGAGAAGCTGGTAAGACCAGGAGCTTTCCCTGCTCCACAGCCCTGTGGTATTTCCCCCCTAACCTGGACTTAGTGACACACTTTGTCCTGTGCCTCCCACCAAAAGCACCCGTGAAACAGTATTTTACTCTCATAAAACAGCACTATACTTCCCAAACCCACTATTTTACTTCCAAAACACCAGTGCTTTATATCCAAAATCCAGTAGTTTACTTCCCAAACCCAGTATTTTACTTCCAAAGCAGCCAGACTTGCCCCCAAGAGAAAAAAAAAAAAAAGCCTCTGAGATGTTTATTTAATTTTAACACTGCCCTCATCTTGAAGTAATTCAGTGGTAGCAGACCTTAAAATGCCACTCTGGAGAGCATCTGGGGATACTACTTGAGCCATTTATCATTCCAGTACCCCTATTTGGACCCCAAAACAGCCTCAGAATCCATCAAACCCTGCTCCAGCAGACAATTCTGCTCAGGCTCTCCCAGTGTCCTTCGGGGAGTTCAGTGGTTCCCACTGACACCCATTTTCCCATCCTCCAACAAGGAGCCATCTCCCACTCCAGCCCTGCAGAGCCAGTGTTGCTTTGCTTCAGGCAAACACACCCCAAGCCACGTTTTGCCAAGGAAATGACATTTTTTCCCTAAATCCAGAGCATCCCTAAGTCCTTAAGAAGGAGAGAAAGGACGTAGAGACTGCCTGAACTTGTGCTGATCCCTGCCAGCCACCCTCACTTGACCTCTCCCCATCCCTGGGCCCCCTCCAAGGCCATGTTATTTAGGGAAGAAGGGAGAAACCACACCCCCCCAGATGATAAATTCAATCTACTTACCATGAACCTGCTTTTTTATTTCTTTGGCAGGATCCAGCCACGTCTGTAAGAGGATAAAAACACTCACAGTTTAACAGACATTCCAGAAACGCCACAGAAAGCTGCAAATTGCTAAAAATATGGCGAAAAAAGACAATATTTGACACTCAGGCAGCCATGGAAACTGGAGAGACAGTGCATTTTTCACTACTTTTACTCCAGGCTGTGGTCTCGGGGGTGTATTTCCAATCATTCATCTACCAGGTACTCACAGGGGAGGCAGGAGGAACAGGAGGGGGGAAAAAAAAGGCAGGATATTGGGGCTGCAGGTACAGCCAGGCCACAGCCACATCCAGCTACAAGGGGCACTTCTACAACACCTTTTTTTTCCTCCACAACCTTTAAGTATAGGCAAATAGGATGTTTACATTCATTTTAAGCACCCTGTCTCCTCACTTAGCCTACTCAGATCAAAGATCACCAAGACTTTCTATTATTAGCTCTGGGTTTTAACGACCTAATCACTGAAATATGAGTGAAAACACCCAATTACCACAGAAGGCTGGAATCTTTCACAGGAGTGTGACACAAACTTCATTTCTTTTAACTATGACTCAAGTTTCTTCTAATTATCTCCGCTACAAATTTAGAAATGTATCCTTTTTTCCTCTCCCCTCTGTAATTTGGGGTTTTGTGGGATGATGGTGCAACACAAGCCACAAAAAACAACTCCTGCTTTTTCCAGGGTCTGAGCCTTTCCCTTTGGAGAGGTCAGGGTCTGCCCCCACTGCGGGGGATGGCACAGGGTCAATGACCCTCCTGGAGAGGCTGCATTTAACCACCTTCTTCATTTTCACCAGCCCTGAGAAGGATTTAGACGTCCAGGTCTCCCAAGGTGAAGGAATTAACTCATTGAATCCCCCGAGCTAATCTCTCCTGACCAGAAGGACACGTAACTTTGTGGCAGGGAGACAGCCATACTTACATTTAATCTCCTCTTTTTATGTGCCTGTCCCTCTAACCTATAAAAGTGGGGGTAAAAAAAATCCATTTTGGGAAAGCAGATGGGCCCCTTGCTGCCCTTTTTAGGGCCACAGCTTTGAGCTGAGCATCTCTATGGCCTGGGCTGGTGCCACGGCTGCTCGTTACTGGGTTGGGCAGCCCAGGGTGCAGTCATGCATCCCACCCCGCCTGAGCCAGCAGACAATGATGGGAACAGCAATTAACACCACTTTTATCCCATTGGGTCATGAATCAGAGGGAAACAATCCTCCCTTTCAGAGCAATGAGCTCCTTGCTGCTCCAGCCGCTGTCACAACCTCCTAATCCCGCTGTCACCCTCAGCTACGCCCATGGGGGTAAATGTCCCTCCTCAGAAGGTTTGTTCCCTATATATCAAGGTGGAAAATGCCACATGCAAGCCTTCCCTGGCCAGGAATACACACGTGTAGCTCTGCCTGCCCCACACAGCTGCAGGTGAGATGCAGGAGCTCATCCTTGGATTCCTGTTAACATCATTTCTTCCTGTGAATCAGTAACTCCGTGTGGGGTCTTGTTTGAAGTTACAGCAGGAGAGAGATGGAGCTTCAGACTTCCAAGTTCAATGAAACACAACCAGAAAAATTCCCCAAAAACCCTCCAAAAATGGTGTTTTTCTCCATCAGAACAAACCATACCAGGATGCTCCACACTGGAGCTGAACAACCCGTGGACAGAGGCTTCACCTTCCTCAGCTCTTGGCTCTGGGACACAGATGTGACAAAACAATCTGTTTTCAGCCCCTACAGTTAAAAAGCTCCACAACCTCTCACCCCTTGTTAGCTGGAGGAAGGAGGTGCTTCTGCTCCTGGAAGAGTCGATGCTGAAAGCCTGGACAGGTGAAGAGCAAGCCCAGGGCTCTGGGATATCGTGGAATAATTAAGGTCGGAAAAGCCCTTTAAGATCAAGCCCAACCATTAACCCAGTACTGCCAGGTCCACCACTAACCCACGTCCCTAAGCACATCTACATGCTTTTTGAACACTTTCAAGGACTCTTTTTGCTCTTAATTGGATATAAAAGTACACCTACCCTTCCCTCTGCAAGAACAAACTCCCAGGGTAAAAAGTATCCAGGCTTTATACACGGAAAGAGACTTCACATACAAGAAGATAGCAAGGCACCAGAGACAGTAAAACAAACCCGAGTGGGAGCTCTGCCTGCCTCAAACAGTGACAGGGTGTTATTTTGCCTGTGGATTAAACATTATAAAGTATTTAATGGCAAATGTCTGTCAGCCCCACAACCTGCCAAGGGTGCATGGTGCAGGTGAAGCAGTGGAATATTCAGAATATGGACCAACATAACTGGGCTAAAGGACACAGAACTGGGCCCTTCATTTCAATTTAGCTTTTGGCTTTGTGAAACAAACCTTGAGTAATTGTTGGGTTAAAGGGTAACCAAGGGGTTTAAAAGATAAGACACCGCCCCGAGTCAAAGCAAACAAAGGCCTTAAACTGAAACCATGAGTAGGAGTTTTGGTATGGAGTCACTGGTGTTCTGCAGGGCAAAGCCTCAACTCCAAACTGCTCTGGGTGGCTCTAACCAAACCTTCCCAATGCTTGACACCAGTGCCAGGGCAGCCTGACTTCTTCAGCTGGAAGAAGTCCAGCTTAATGGCAGCAAACAACTTAATTTGCAGCAAACTAATATAACAAATTTTCTCCAGGTGAAGACCCAAGTTCACAAGGATTCCATCATTCTATGATTCATGCAGCCTTTTTGCTAAAACCCACACTCCTGTACTCACTTTTTCACCATTTCTGCCTCTGTGATGACCCCCAACCCATCTTTAGGGAGGACATCAAAAGCAGTTTTAAGAGGAGGCTTTTCCCTCCTGCCCTGGGAAGATGATCCTATGGAAGAGCTGAATCCCCCCGGGGCCAGACCACCCCAGAACAGCAGCTGCTTACCCTGGAGGTTGGTGTGTCCCATATGGCCAAACCAAAGTAGTCTTCTTCCAGCAGATTGAGGTGGTCACAGACTTTTTTAAGGAGCTCCTGTCCCTTGGCATGTTTCTGCAAATAGAAGAAGAAATCCTGTTGGACAGGTTGGGTTTTGCCTGTTCTCACTCACAGCAGAGGGGAGGAAGGGAATGGCACCAAACCACACTGTAAGCCCTGAGTAGCTCCAAATGACAATTCCTGGCTGTTTCAGAGTAAGGACTCCTTAAAGGAAAGAGCATCAGGCAGAAGAACTCAATGGAGAGGCAACAGGAATGCAGTGGGTCTCTCTCTTCTGACCAGCTCCATGTCTGAAGCCCCCTCAAAGCTGAACTTCCCACCAGGAGTTCAGTAAACAGCAAGGATCTGTACAGCTTTTCCCTGCCAAGGTACATTCAGAGCCCCAGTATCTCCTGGATCCAGGCTGTCACACAACCAGGTGTGGATCAAAAGATGAACCTGCTGCTACGACCCACTGCTACAGTTGTTCATTTTGGGGGCAATCTGACTTTTTTTAGGTTCAGAAAAAAAACCCAGCAGCTCGGACCCACAGCCCATAATTTCTTGTGGCCTTTCCATTGCCCTGATCTGCTGATGAAAACCACCTTCTCCTGTTTGCTTCCTGCACCCAGAGCTGCTCAGCACTTCCTGCCTCCAGAAACACACTCTGAGCATTCCTATTTCCTCTCTCCCCCCCCCCTCAAATCCTGCACAAGTGAACTGGCCCTAGGAACAAGATACCCTTTTAGTCCAAAAGCATGAAGGAAAACATCCCTGAGGCATAAAACTATGGCAACCAGAAGCAGCTCATTCCATTGGAGGCTTTGTTAGAAGAAAGTGCCGTTCCAGTGACGCAAAATCAGCTTCACTAATGCCTTGCTGGTGCCCACAGCTCTCCTGTCACTCATCTCTGCATGGCAACTGCTCCAAGACCCCTGCCTGGTTTTATTCCTTGGCTTTATTCCAGCCTTTCAGCTGTCAGGTCCTTTGTGCACACGTTGTGACTCTATAGGTAACATAATGTATGTGTTAGCCTGGGTATCCCTCAAGGAATTGGCAGTGATCTAGGAATGAAAAACCTTCCAGGGCTGTCAGTTGGAAAGGATGCCTGAAAGCACTAATTCTCCTTGGATAAAGGCATTTGTGCTGCTCTTTGCCTACACCTTTGCAATTCCTTCCCAATTAAATCTTAATAAACTCTCAAAATGCCACAGTAGGATTACAGGGGTGTTAAAGCCCAGGGTGCCTGCCAAGTTAAGAGGGTCTCACTGACACACTGGCCCCTCCTAATCCCCTCTGCAGTGCCCACCACGATCCTCTGGACCCACAGAGAGATTTCTCACGTCCTGCTCAAGTCAGGGCTCCCCCCCCCCACCAGCAATGCCTGGGCCAGTATCCAAAGGCATCATGGATACACCATGGCAAGCTGTCACCAGGATTTAGGGGAACAGTTCCCTTTTGGGGGGCTGCACACAACATCCCTGGCCCAGGGGAAGGAGTTTGGGGCAGGATGCTCCGAGCTGATCCCAGGCAATGCCAGCAGCACCGTTACACAAACACTCAGCACTGACCTACTTGCCCAGGATCACCCAAGGTGACTGTTCCCACAAGGAACCCTGTGCCCAGATACCCTCTCCTGGCCCATTTACCAGCAGGACTGAGGGAAAACAAGCTGGTGGAACTATGCTCCAGTGGTAAGTACCAGATTATTAATATTCCAGACAAGTACTTCAATACTAAAATAGGGATTTCTGCTCGCTTTTTATTGCCCTGACAGCACCACATCCCTGTGAGAGAATGCACAGAAGAAAGCAGAAGAAAAGCTCTCAGATGAAGGGGTTTGCAGTGCTCTAAGTCAACATAATAATTTTTAAATTGTTTACTGCAAATATATTCAACTGCAGGCTAAACACAGCGTGTTTTCCTTTATATCCAAGCACCAGCAGCCTGGGAGGTGAAGGGACCTTGGGGAACTAGAAAAGCACAAATCAATTTGGCAGCCCATTTTTCTCAAAGGAAAGGGGGCAAAAGATATTCAGACCATCCCAACTTATCCCAAAAACCTAAACTCTGGTCTGGGATACAAATGACAAAGATGATGAACAGCAAGTGAGATAAAGTTTGTTTGGTTTTTTTTTTTTAAATCCTTCCTACCTTTACAAAGCAAGACACCCTGGAATTGTAGAACAATAAAAAATAAAGATTCCTAGTACCCAGAGGCTTTTACAACACACTAAGTAAGTTGTTATAGCTTACAGCAGGCTTGTTCTGCAGTAAAGCCTGTCATGTAATTCCCTGGCAGCACATTAGGCCCCTATTAAATCGTGTTTGTGGTGATTTTTCGAGAGGAGCAGAAGGGAGACGGGAGAGAGGAGAAGCAGAACCAAACCCCACAAGTACTTACATCCACAGCACACTCAAAAATGGTGTCATCCAGCAAGATCACTTTGCAGTACATGTTTCTGTGTCTTTTCACTGCTTTCTGGGCAGCTTTCAAATCCTTGTCTGCTTTGGTCTCCGGAGTCTCTGGTTTAGGCTCTGGCTTGGCACACTCTTCCTTGGCTTCTCCTTCTTCCTTGTCCTCAGGGTCTTTGCCCTCTGGCTCCTGCTCGTCCCTCCTCTCCTCCTGTGCAGGCTGAAACCCCCCCAAACATCCCAATTTAGAGGTGTCGAACAAGCAAACAAAGCATCACACTAAATAAGCACTGCAGAGCTGGGGCCTCACCCAAAATTCATTATCTGACTTCAACCTGTAACCGAGGACCTGGAGCAGCAGCTGGGGTGAGCAAGGGAATGAAATTAATTTTTAAAGCCCTTCCAAGTAATTTTCAAGTCTTCATTTAATAAAGGATGTAATAAAAAAGAAATAAGGGTTGATTAGAAAAATCAAGGCAGATTATAGCCTGCAAATCTTCGTGGTGTTAATGACAGCACCTTTGGGACTGGGAAGGTTTTTGCCTCCCAGGAAAGACACTCAGTGCTCCCAGTACCAACCTGGGCCATGGGCTCTGCTCCAGTGCACCCACCCTCTACATGGCAAGGGGAACGGTTTTAAACTGAAAGAGGAGAGATTTAGATGGGATACTGGGGAGAAATCCTTCTCTGTGAGGGTGAGGAGCCCCTGGCACAGGTTGCCCAGAGAAGCTGTGGCCCCGTCTCTGGAATTGTTCAAGGCCAGGTTGGACAGGGCTTGGAGCAAGCTGGGCTAGTGGAAGGTGTCCCTGCCCATTCCAACCCAACCCACTCCATGACTCTATGGCAGCAGTGGCACTAAAAGGGGTGGTCAGGCCTAGGATTTCACAGCCATTGAGCTGACCAAGCAGCTCTCTGCCACCAAAAAGGGAAGGCAGCCCTCACACCACTGTCCCTTTGCCTACAGAAGCACTTTGTGAGCCAGTTTAATCCACTGAAATAGCAGAAAGAGATGCAGTTTGGGGGCAGGAGGAGGAAGGAAGCCTTTTTTTTTTTCCCTCTGCCATTTCAGCAGGTTAACCGAGTTCACAGGAGGCTCTGAGGAGCACTGGAAGGGCTGGATGCAGCAGGAGCACAGCTGCAGCAGGGGAAGAGCAAAACCTTGTCTGTTCAAGCCATCACATCTCATGAAATCACACCCAGGCACAAGTGCACGGAGGTATTTAAAAACTAAATAATGTCCACAAGCTGCTGACTTCTGTTCCAGCAGAACTGGGACAATCGGGAGCAGGGAATCAGTCAAAGCTCCTAATGCCCGTCGGTCAGCATTTATCAAACTGCAGCACCTCACAACTGCTGTCACAGCAGAAATATCTGCAGAGTGTCACAGTTCAGAAAGCCACTGACTGGGATCTAAAATAAGAACTGGGGGAAAAAAAAAAAAGGCACAAACGCTCCGTCTGAAGCGAAGAGCCTGTGAAGGAAGGTTGGGGTGAACACTAACGTGTGCTCAGAAGCACTAAATCAAAGTTAAACTGAGGAAGAAATCATGTATTTAGAATCCCAGAATGGGTTGGGTTGGGAGGAACCTTAAAGATCATCTAGTTCTACCCCCTGCCATAGGCAGGGACACCTTCCACTAGACCAGGCTGCTCTAAGCTCTGTCCCATCTGACTTTAAACACTTCCAGCGATGATTCGCTCCTGAAAATACAACTTCTGGGTTGAAATTGCAAGAAAATTTCCAGCTCCTTCTCATCCTGCTATTCCCAACCCTCAGAGGTACAGAACATGAGCAGAGACCATCCCATGGTTTTCACAGGCTCAGAAATTTGGGAAAAGAAAGCAAAATGTGTTACCTACCTTCTCTACGGCTTTGTAATTTAAAGTAGGTGGATTTACAGTTATTGCCTACTGGCAATGCTGGAACTTGTATTGCTCTGAATTCCAGTGTTTGTGGGTACCTGACAGTGCTCTGGAGCCACTCAGAATGAAGGCAGTGGGTAAGAAATCCAAATTTCACCCTGCACGTTCTGTGACTCCAGCAACACATCCAGGTTCGCTGGGTTGCAAGAAATCCCCAGCTGAGGAAAAAGGACACCCCTCTCCAAGTCCAGGCACAAGTAACAGCAGAGCTGCCATCACCCAAGGAGTAAGAGAGGGCACCCAATACCCCCAAACCAACAACCAGCTGCAGCTCTGTGAACGTTCCCTGTGGCTGTGTCTGCCTCAATTTCTACTTTAAATTTTAAAACTTCACATATTTTGCACAAAAAATGACCCTGGCTGGGAAGAGCAGACACCAGACAGCTACCAGGAGCTGGGCTCAGCCCACGAGCCTGCAGAAATCCCTGTCTACGTGATGCATAAGCAGAAAATGTTTGTATTTGGCAGGCTCAGCACCAGCCCAGACTGAGCAGATGACCAAGTCCTGAAATGCTGCGCTTGCGCTCCTTGAAGCTGAAGAAACCCTTCCCTAAATCCAAGTCCTCCACCTCAGGCCACTGACCTGACCTTATCCTGCTCACACCAACTGGTTTTGGACCCTCTGAACGTGAACCCTCGTTCTGAGGTGACATCCCAACCTCAGCAGAGCAAGGACAGGGCATTTTAAGTTATGCTGGGAAGTGCTGAGCACAATTCCCAGAGCAGGTACTTGGCAGGACACGGAGATGCAGGGAGAAGAGTGGGAAGTACACGATGCAACACAGAGAGCTGACACCTCACCAGCTTTTCTGGTCAAGCTCATCAGCCTGGGATACGAAGTTTTTGGCTACAAAGACACATTTTTAGGACAGCAGGGAGCCCATCCCACAGGATGGGGTGTTTTACCTGTGTTTCTGCACTGCTCAAGGAATGGAGATCCAGTGACGGGTCGGTTTTGAGCTCGGGCTCAGGAGCTGCGATCGGCGCTTTCACCAGGATGTCTTCATCAGGGCTGGCTCCTAATCCTGAACCTTTCTGGTCACCTCCTGCCTCTTTAGGAGCAGTGTCTTTTTCCTCTTCAGACACCTGAGACTTGGGCCTCCTGAGGAAGGAGGAGAAGAGGCGGGACAGGCCCCGGCCCTCGGAGGTGCGACGTTCCTTCTTGCTCTGCTCCTCGTGCGTGGGGGTGTCTCCGTTGGAGGCCTTCTGCTTCTGCCCCTGCCCCTCTGACGTAGGCTGAGCCCCTTCCTCCAGAGAAGCCTCCTGCTTCTGTGCTTCAGCAGCTCCTTCCTCCTCCTTGGCTTGCTGCTGGTCCGAGCCGTCGGCGTCCGCCGCTGGGCTCTTCTCTGTTGTCATGGTGGTGCTGTAAGAGAGGAGCAGGAGGGCTCAATCCAGAGGTGGTTTCCAACATTCAAGCCTGGTTGAGCTGCTCAAGCCAAGCCACGAGCACAGACACGCCACGTTCATCAGTCACACCAGCCTGCCACAGAATCACAGAACGTTCTGACTTGGAAGGGACCCACAAGGATCGAGTCCAACTCTTCAGTGAATGACCTGCACAAGGATTGAATCCCTGCCAACCCCAGCCCACAGAGTCACAAAGAGCAAAACCATTCCTTTTGCTATGGTTTGCTTTGATAGAAACATCTCTATTGATGTTTGCCCCCCACCCTTTGGACAACACTGAGAGAGTTGGGGCTGTTCAGCCTGGAGAAGAAAAGGCTCTGGAGAGACCTTGGAGCCCCTTCCAGTGCCTAAAGGGGCTCCAAGAGTGCTGGAGAGGGACTTGGGACAAGGGCTGGAGGGACAGGACAAGGGGGAATGGCTTCCCACTGACACAGGGCAAGGCTGGATGGGATATAATTCCTTCCTGTGAAGGTGGGAAGGCCCTGGCACAGGGTGCCCAGAGAAGCTGTGGTTGCCCCATCCCTGGAAGTGTCCAAGGCCAGGTTGGATGGGGCTTGGAGCAACCTGGGCTAGTGGAAGGTGTCCCTGCCCTTGGCAGGGGGGTGGAACAAGATGGGCTTTAAGGTCCCTTCCAACCCAAACCAGTCTGAGATTCTGTGATCTAAACACACCACATCACACCACACTGATGGGGACAGGACTCATTGGTGTTGATCAACTATGTTGATCTGCACAAGACCAGTCCAGTGGAGTAGAGCAGGCTTTGGGATTTATGGAATCTTTGGATTGCACACAGCAAAAACGTAGAACGAAAAGGTTTCCAAACAACACCCACAAATGCAGAGCAGATTTCCTCAGAGCCTGTGCTATTAAACTGATGCAATGTTTATTTCAACTTTAGCCTGGGCTGTTGACACAAAAAGATGGAAATCACATGAGAAGAATATCTATTTAAGGTATAAAGAGGACCCAAAATAATCATGCTTTAGAGGGGATAGAACTAATCTTTGTGCGTTGCATCACATGTATCTGCAGCAATAAATTGCCACTGCTTACACTGAGCAAATAGCATATAATCCAATATGCCCCAATCCCCAGCCCGAGCCTCGGCGCACAAACATTTGCTCCAAATACAGACCCAAAATTAGGAAACATTTCAAGATGCCATCCTCCTACGTATTATTGCATTCATCAGTTTTAATTTAACTCATGCTGATTGCCAAAAGAACCACAGTGCTGGAAGAAGAAAAGCCCCCCCAGTTCTCCAAAGGACTCTTCCCTTGCATTTAATGCAAACACTTGATATTATTCCTAATGCTGTGGTTAAACCAGGGCAGCATCAGAGACCTTCCCTGAGTTTGTTCCTTCAGCAATGCAAATTTCCTGAGGTTACAAGGTTTGGTTTGAGGGTTTGGTGATTTTATTTCTTTTCAGGGAGGGCTCTGGAAAAGCAGGGATGGAACCCACTGGGTCTGTGCTTCCATTGGAGAAGTGTCAGATTTAAAACAGACTCTCTGGATCCTTTGAAACTGTGTCAGGGCAGGCTCAGGTTGGATCTCAGAAAGGATTTTTCCCCCAGAGGGTGGTTGGGCACTGCCCAGGCTCCCCAGGGCAGTGGGCACAGCCCCAAAGCTGCCAGAGCTCCCAGAGGGTTTGGACAACACTCTGAGGAACAGGGTGGGATTGTTGGGGTGTTCTGGGCAGGGCCAGGGGTTGGACTGGATGATCCTTCAGTGTCCCTTCCAACTCAGAACACTCTACTATGCTATGAAACCTCTTCACTTCTCCCACAGTCCACTGCCAGGGATGCTGCTGGCCCTGTTAGCAACACTCTGCAGAGTCCCTCCAGCCACCATGCAGCCAATTCCTGCTCTCAACAGCTCTCCAAAAACTCCTGGAGATGCCACAAGGCAGTGGAAGGAGCAAGGACTACCAAAAACCCATCACTCCAAGCCCACGACACAAGACAGACTCGCCACGGTCAACTCCCAGGGCAAAGCTCCCAATGTCCTGGCACACACGGATCGGGATGGATGCTCTGCAAGCCTGTCCCACCAGGATCACACGCCAACAGCGAGCTCCCTCTGGCACCAGCTGCCAGAGCAGCCTGCTTTGTAGTTGCTTCCCACTGTGTTTGTTTTGAATAAACACATTTGTAGGAATCCTTATCAAAACACACAACGTCGGGCGCGCGTCACTCCTCAGACTAGAAAGGCAGAACCGGGGCTTTGGAGATGAGGACGGTGGGGAGGGCACAGCTGAGGAGCAGCTCTTATCAGCCACAGGAAACCAGAGGGACAGTCCACAAAGGAACATTTCCTCTGGATGCACGTTTCTCTCCTCAAATTCTGGAACAAGGATTGTTTACTCGTTTACATTTCAAAGCCGCAGTCCCGGACCTTTCTCGATGTAGGGTCCAATGAGAAAAACATCTCCTTGTCTTAAACATCTCTTTGTCTTTCCTCCATCCCTTGGGATTCCAGGCTGCAGCTCAGCCAGATCCCCTCGGCAGGGCTGGGGATGAGGAGATGGGCACGTAGGAGCCCTGCCCTTCCCAATAAACATTTCATAGCTGCCAGCACCAATAACTCACCGGGTGCAGCAAACATCCTGCTGCAAGACCTGAGCGAGCTGCTCCGACCCAGGTTCACAGCTGGATCCCTCCCCTGCGAGTTCTATGCTCAGAAATGGTTTTCCCTACGCTCCCCGTCAAAAGCAAAGAGATCAGTAAGCAAATAACACAACCCTGAGAGGCTGCCCAGGGCAAAGGGGGGACAGGAGATGGTCTTTAAGGTGCCTTCCAAGCCAAACCAGGCTGTGATTCTGTGATTATCCAAGACAAAAAGCACCTTGGCTGCACTTACCAAGTGATGTTTTGTTTCCATCCCAGCCCACAGCAGAGCTGACACAAAGAGCAAAGTTCCCACTCCACTGCTCCTCAACCCATCCTTTGGAGAAAGCACAACCCACAGCCAAACCACAAGCAGGTTTCTATTTAAATTCAATTTTTCTTCCTTCACTATCCCTGCCGAGCCTGCAGGTGCCTCAGGAGCTCCCTGGATGCTGGAGGAGGATGCTCTGTTCTTGTAGGAGCACTCAAGTGATGCTGCTCACCTCCTGCTCTGAGCTGCCACGCTTGTAAATACTGCATTTGGGGTTTTTCTTTGGTACAGGCTGAAGGTTTGATGCCAGACAGCCTGTAAAAGGCAGGCTCTTCACGAGTCTGGTGTAGAGAAGGTGTTTGACGCTACAGAAATAAGGAAACTACAACAAAACTCAGATATGATCCCAGAGAGAGATTTCAGAGTGAAAGTCTCACCAGAAAATACGTATTTATATATAAGCATTTTTAAGTTTAAGAACATCCTCCAGACAAGAAGGCTTTGGCAACAGGAAGCAACCTGAAGAAAAGGGAGTTAAATACTCCCAGAGAAGCAAAAAGGTTTTGCCCCACTGGGGACACTTGCAACCACAGGTTGACCTTCCACCAACCACATCCCCTTCACCTGCCAGAGGAGGATCTGGACCTCCTGGGAATGTTGGAAGAGGCTTTAGCAAAACATCTCCTCTCAAAAGAAACAGGAATGTTGAGATATTTGTCTGTCACCCTCTCCTACCTGTCAGCTCCTCCAGTGTCTCTTATTTAGGCACACAAATAAGTGTAGTGACAATACCTGAAGAAGGGCAAAGTTAATTAGAAATTAGGAAGAAATTCTTCCCTGTGAGGGTGGGGAGGCCCTGGCACAGGTTGCCCAGAGAAGCTGTGGTTGCCCCATCCCTGGAAGTGTCCAAGGCCAGGTTGGATGGGGCTTGGAGCAACCTGGGATAGTAGGAGGTGTCCCTGCCCATGGAGGGGGTGGAAGGAGAGGGTCTTTAAGGTCCCTTCCAACCCAAACCAGTCTGTGATTCTGTGATAGAAAACCTAACTTATCCCTGCTTCCAAGCCTGGAAAAGTGATTTATGGCTCATGCCATAGCTTTCTTAATTCCCAGTGGTTTAGTCTTTCAGAGAGAGAAGAAAAAGGACTGTCCACGGGGAAGGTTCAGTTCTTGGAAACCCAAACTGTCTCACAGCGATGCCCAACACCAGATAAGGGTGATCACAGCGCTGGGACAAATTGTCTTGACCTTCCTACCCAAAAACGTGTGGCTTCTCAGAATGCTGCTGCTCCAGCAAGAGCTGGAGACAATGATAAGAGAAAAATTTCTGCTAAAAATAGGCAAAAATCAAATAGTTTCAGCAACAGCGTGGTGGGTTTGGTTTTTTTTTTTTAAATGCATTCCTCCCCATTTCATAATGTGTGTGAAAAGCACACAATTCACCAGAGAAACTACGCAGAACATTGCTCAAAATAGACAGCACAGCCTGAAAATTCGGTTTAGTCAAGACCTGGTGCACGTGCAACAAACCTGAGGGTGGGAGAGGAGGAAACTGCAGCCGCCCCCAGCAGGACTCACCCCACCTGTGTGTGAGTTACGTGTCCTACACGGGATTTTTACTACAGTTAAAAAAACATTCCAAGGCCAGGCTGGACAGGGCTTGGAGCAACCTGGACTAGTGGAAGGTGTCCCTGCCCACGGCAGGGGGGTGGAAGGAGGTGGGCTTTAAGGTCCCTTCCAACCCAAACCATTCTGGGATTCTATGACCACAGCAGAAAGCTGTTTGTTAGGGGAGCTTAAATAAAACGAGGAATTCAAATGCAATAAAATAAGCCCCTCGATAAGGAATTCAAACAACCTTAAAATACTCTAAAGCACCAGAACCGTTCGGAATTTATTTAATATATTTTATTAGAGAAATAATTAGTGCTGACATTTATAACCCCTGTCAGAATTAACGTGCACGATCTTTCTGTGCTGGTACTTTGGGTCCTGAACAAAAGAGATGCTGTCACTCAGCCTGACCTGGAGGGTAACAGGAGACTCCAGGAGCCTCATTGAACAGGGGAAAAATAAA